AAATAATGCTACCACATTGCCGCCAAATCTCTCTTAAATTGATTGAACATCTCTTTTAAGAAGTGAAATTGGAAAATCAGGTTAAACTTTCCCAGTAGCAAAAGCCTTCCTAAGCCTTAGGAAACCCTAAAGGGGGACTAAGGAGATAGAGGCAAGATTCAAATTTTGAATTAGAAATGAAAAAGCCTAAGGTTAAGTGGCATGACTACAAAATCTAGTTTTGAGTATGGACTAGCGTGAGAAAAATATCACAAGAAAAACTCAGGTCGAAAAGCCTAGGAGCGAACTTGCAACTAGGTGGATGAGTGGGATGAATGTGATGTCTCATGTTATAGCTCTAGAAAAAGGACTGATATGCCCTCTGACCATTTGGCAATTAGGCAAATGTTAAATTGAGATTGTCAGTAGCTGTCTACTTCTTTGTCGCCTACCTGTTCCTCGAAAAACATGGGATGCTAAAGAGAGGCAACTGTAGACACCCTATTTTGAAATTGGCTATTTTCCCCCATTTTTTCATATTTTTCCTAATCCCTAATAGAACTTTAGGGACATTTACCCTAATATACCATAGTCTACCTTTTTCTATGGTCAGTAGTCCCTTGGACCATGGTCCCAACCTTATAGAATATCCCATAGAATCTCCGAGATAATCGTAAAACCCTAAATAACCTTCCTAAAATCTATAAAGTTATCCTGAACACTAAAAAATAGGAAAACCGACTTAGATGGAAGCTTTCGGGATAAGTATGATAAAAAAAATACATAATTCAGATTAAAATCAAGAAGATCAACGAAATCCCAAAAAATTAGACGACCATATTTTAGATGCCACATTTTGTGGCGTTTAGACCAAAAGTATGAAAAAGTCACGGTTTGTTGCGTCCAGACCTCTTGACTTGATAAAATCAATTTTTCTGTAGAAATCCATTGGGAATCATTCCCAATCAACTTAGAACTGACTTTTGTAACCTATATAAGGGTTCTATTTGGGTTATTCAAGACTAACACATAGCTTGAAATCTAGAGACCTAATCCCTAGAGAAAAACATATAAAATAGAAGCCTAACCCTCAAAATACCAAAACTTTAGTTTTTTAAACCAAATCCCAGAGAATAAAGCCTTAGCCTGCATCCTCTTAACCTTAGTCTTGAGCTTTAGCTTTCAAACCCTAGATTCTAGAAACAATGACTTTAGATCTAAACTACAAAACCCTAGATTCAATTTTAACCTCTCTCAACCATCCATAGCCAATATTTCCATATCTCATAGTGGAAAGTCAACCAATTTCAAGGAGAAAAAAGTGAAGGCAAAGAGGCGTAAATAACCCATGGTTCTGATACACCGACTTCAGGCGTCCCAGGCTAACTAACCTGGGCAAGTAAACCTTTCTTTTCTCATTTTCTTTAATTTTAGTTATTTTGATTATTTTACGCAGATCTAATTTTGCAGTAGATTTCCTTTACTTTGACGAAAAGATCATGCATGGCATTACCAATGATTTAAAGAGAAATTGGCATTTCGAAGTTAATTAGTTTTAAAACGTAATTTGACCGTTCCCACACATCTTTATCAAAATTTTAATAAACTAATTTTATAGCGATAGGTTAGGGGATCTCAGATTTGAGATCTTCTCGATTTCACGCTGTAAACAGACCTATAGGAAGAAGGATTAGGTTTCTCAAAAGTGTATTATAACAATAGTTTAGGCTATGCCAAAAAGACACCCACATTGGGAGATACATTGTTTAACATTTTACATATTTGTTACTATTCCAACTCATGATCAATATGTATATTTATGAGTATTTTAAAATTTGCTCAAATAATATGGTTCAATGTCAAAAAATTCATTTTACGTGAGTATCTGGATAATTTTCCCATAAAATTATAGCACTTTTGTTGAGAGAGAGGGAGAGCTTTGGGGGGAGAAAAAAAGATTGAGTTTGTATAGAAAGCTAGGTTTTGGGTTTGAGCTTGTGTAGAGCTAGGTTTTAGGTGAGAGAAGAGAATGGGCTTTTAAGGGAGAGAGTCACAAATTGGGTTTGTGTAAATAGATAACAATAGTTTGTTGGAGAGAGAGAGACCATGGTAAAGGTTTGAGATAGAAAGAGCAAGAGAGGATTTACGGGTTATTGGAAAAGAGATTGGGTTTTACCTATGGGAAAGCTTTATATACTTCTCATAATATATAGAAGTAATATCCTCCTCCCCCTTCCCACCTGGTCTTTAAATTTATATCAAGTGAGCCATTGACCATTTGATTTAGATCTGACACCGCAAAGTATTTAATTTTAATTTTTTGTTAAAAATCTTATGAATATAAAACTTGATACATTCCATCATCAAAATGGGTGCACCTAAAACAAATATTAAAAAGTATTTTTGATAAAATAAAATGACCAAAATATCGCTAAAAATTTTTAGGAATATTTTGGTCATTTTATTTTATCGGGAATATGTCTTTGATATTTTTTTTTGTAGGTGTGAATTTAAGAGAGTGGATGGCCAAAATTTGATGTCGAAATATTTTTTAGAAAAAATTAAAAAATAAAGAGTGTAGAAGTGTGACTTTGTGATTCAGTCCTTCTTTACGGTCCATTCTGATCGGACAGTTGGATAAGGGGAAAATATAAAACTTCTATCAACTAGAAAATATATAGAAAGCTCTCTCTTTACCTATAAGAGAGCAAAAGATAGATTGCAATACTATATGTTCGAGCCTTTTCGAGATATCGAGGGAGCATAATGTACAGTTACTCCAATGGGTGAAATAGCTATTTAAGAGGAATTTTAAATCTAAAATTTTAGGATCCACTTCAAAATCACTAGATTATTATTTCCAGAAAAGTGAATTTGGATTTTGAGATCCTCACACTCAGATCTTGCTATATACAAATTTGGATGGTCTCTACTCAAGTTTGAGATAGTTTTTTTAAGCAACTATAAAATGTGGTTTTTTTTTTCTTTGCCTTTTTTTGTAAGTATTTTAGCCACTACCTTGAAGATGTTAAATCCCCAAAATTTGAGCCCTAAAAAACTATTAGGCTCAATTTTACATAAGATTGTAACACAATTAATAGGTTTATAACTACTACGATATATAATGAGATTATTTTATCTTTGGTACAAGATGATCACAATTAATATTAACCACTGGATGTGAAATTAGGTGGTTGCATTTATTTCATTGACAAAGCTTAAAGTTCAAAAGAAAATTTTTTGAACTTTATGACACACCTAAGCTATTAGATTTCACATTGAATGGTTATAAGTAAATGTGACCTAAAGTAAATGGACTCATTGTATACAATCCCTACTTACTAAAAAAAAAATATTATCTATTCTAAAAGTAGTGTTTTAATAGGTAATAAATGCATATTTTGTCTCTTTTCTCATATTTGAATCCCCGCTAGATTACAATTTTTAAATCTCATTTTGCACTTAAGAAACTTTAAATCAAACCGGAGAGGCTGGGCGTATGGGCCGGGAGGTCAAGGCCATCCCAAACATATAAGAGTACCAACCGGCCCATAGGACAAGACCCGGCCCGTACCCAAAATCCTGGCCAGAAAAGAGGCTCCATCAGATTACAAACCCCTCATAAATCGTATGTGCATGTGCTAGGGTCAAAAGAGGCTCACGACCCTTGGCCGTACACCACATGTCATCCTACAAGGGAAGGTACTATTCAGGATGGCATACATCGTCGAGAGCGATACAAAGAGAGAGAAAGGGAAGAGAGAGAAAATCCTGAACATAGATTGATAGATGGATATAGATAGCTATAGGTGCGCTGCGCAATCTTGTTTAGGAGTGAAGCTCTCAACCGGCAGTGGTGGGGGAAGAGAGAGAAGTAAACATATCGGACCTGGGTCAGGGTCAAAACAAAAAAATAAAGAGAGAGGAGAGAGAAAGAGAGAGGAGAGAGAGAGGGGAGGAGAGAGAGGAGAGAGAAAGAGAGAGGGGAGGAGAGAGAAAGAGAGACGGTAGGAGAGAGAGGAGAGAGAAAAGAGAGGGAGGAGAGAGAGGAGAGAGAGAGGAGGGGGAGGAGAGAGAGAGAGAGAACGAGAGGAGGGAGGAGAGAGAGGAAAGGAAAGGAAAGGAGAATAGATCATACGCCCGCTCTTTTCTGTATTCTTTTTATTTTCTCCCTCTGGCTATTATCAGTTTTAGTGTTTATTTTCTCTCTCTAGACTTCTAACCAAGGACGATGGTATTGTGTCGGAGGCCCTTTCCCTCTCTAGAATGTTGCAGGCGATGATGACGGTGAGGGGTTCCTGAAATCAATCGGAATAAATCGATGATGGTGGAAGAAGGATCTGTTGAGGAGCGGCCTCAGAGGAAGGAGCGGCTCGCCAGGGCCTGCACCGCTCGCACCGCTGCGCGCCTCTTTCCCCTCGCTCCTGCAATCGAGCAACAGCAGTCGCGGCGGGCGGCTCTCTCTACGAGAGACTCTTCTGATCAATGCAAGGAGATCACGGACCTTTCTCGGCCTCCCCCGCCGTCTCAACTCCCTCGCTGGACCCTCCGCTCCATGTGGGAGCTCGCCTCTCTCCTCAACTTCCTCCACGTATTCCCTTCCTCCACCTCTATCTCCTGCTTTCGCCATCTCCCTCTCCCTCGCTCTCTCTCCAAAGTGGTTCCTTTCTCTTTGTGTTTCTGTGTTTCAAGCAAAAATGGCTCTTTTCTATTTGTTTATGATCGATCTCAGAGGGCTTGGTACTTGAAGCTGTGCAGGTTTTCAGACCCCTTTTGAACATTGGCGTGGAGTTCACGGCGGAGGAGCTGGAGACTGCCCTTATCACCCCCAATGACACCTTGGCTGACATTCATATGCCTCTATTGAAGGTAAGACCTCTCTGATCTCCTGCTTCTTGGGATGGATTACATGCGCCCCCTTAATGACTTCTTTTCCTCTGGTATTCACTCTCATGATTCTGCTCCATGATGTTAGATTCATCTCAGGCATCTGCGTTTCAGTTTTGAGTTTTTGAGTGTTGTGCGAAAAACTAGAACCATTGTTGGTCAAGTGGGCTTGTGTCGCTTCTGAATGTCTGGTCACGGTTTGAAACCGTTTGCTTTTATCTGAAGCAGGAGTATATATGGAAATGTTTGTGCAACAGCTGTTAACTGCTGTTTTTTTCTCCTACAGTATCAGATGCTCATTCATCTCCATATCTTCTCTCTGCTATAACTATTCTATGGTTTGAACTCTCTTTCAATGGGACTTGAGTTGAAACTTGAAACCTGGAACTTGTTCATTCTGTTGTTTATGCATTTGGCAGTGAACAAGAAAGCGCATTGTGGGCCTTTTAGCACTGGAATGGAAGAAATTTCTCCTGGTCCTTGCTCTTTGAGCTCTATCTTTATTTGTTTCCCTCACTTATTCTTGGTTTAACAAGTTGGAGTGTAGGATCATGTATTGAGAAAACTGGTACTATCATTTCCAATGTAGAGTCGATTATCATTCTTAGAATCCAATGGTGAATTTGTTCTCCTTCAAATTATGTTGTTGCCTTCTTAAGTTTTTTTGGTAGCTTGGGAGGTTATTATTAAATTCAGATGCATGCAAATGTAAAGGGGGAACCTGATTATCCTTACTTGTATAATGCCATTAATACAAAACTCACTTCCAAGGTTGTTCATTTTGTTCTGCTTTGAGTACTTGATAGTTCTTTGAACTCTTATAAAATTGGATATTGTTCACTCATGAGTCTCCCAAGAGTTCTTTAAGTGCTAGCAACATTTTAGGCCGATATGGTGTTCCTATGGAGGGGTGTCCTTTATCAGTGAGAATTAATTTATATATTTAGCATCTCTACCCATTTACTGGTTTAATCCAAGATTGTGAATTGAGTATTTTGATTTCCTTGATATCCTTGGCAAATGGAACCCTAATCTTATTACATTCATCGTTAAGGATCAGATATAACTAAAATATGTTTTTGTTCTTTTTCTGGATGGTTAAACTTGCTCGATGGTACACTTGTTGAATTCTAGGTTATGCAACACTTTTGAAATATTTAGTAGCTAATATCCATGCTGATAAAGGTAGAGGTTATATATGTTTAGAAATCCCTTTCTCCTTTTTTGTGTGTATCTGCCCGCACGCTCATGCAAGTGTGTGTTATGTGGCTGCTTTTCGTTCTATTTCCACAAATGTTTCAGCTGTATCTACTTTACCAATTGTTGTGTAAGCATGGAATTAGCATGCACTAGCAGGCAATAAGACCTCTATAATCAAGAGCTGGTACCAAGATAGTAATAATCTCTTGGAAAGCCTTTGTGCTGCTTCATGCTTTTGCTTAACTAAAAAAACTTTTCTCCACACCCTTATGCTCAATTCTTCTTGTGAGTAGTGTTCATTGTGTCTGAAGTGAACTCTAATACCAGCCAGTCAATTATTTAATCATTAGGGAACTGCATTTGTAGCAAACTCAATTTGTAGCACGTCGGTTGTTGTGCGGATAGTGTGCTATTTGGTGTAGACCTACAAAGTAAACATGATCAATTTGTTGATTAGAAAACCTTTTCTCCTCCTGGTAGAAAGTGGTAAAAAATAAATCACTGAGGTAAACACATTGTGGTGCTTAAACTGTACAAAAGTACCGAACTCTAGGTACTCTAAATCTTGGCTTAATTTTTAGTTTGGATTATGACGATCTCATCTTTGGTCAGAACGACAAATTTATTTCTTTGTAGTCATGTACTTAAGGAAAATGAATGATAAAACAATGTGAAAGTGTTAGATAATCAAAGATGGTAGATATGGTATTGCACAATGAATATTGGAGCATATTTTCATGTTCCCATTTTTTACAGAATTGTTATAAGCTGTATAGGTTAATTCTTAACTAATCATAAAGACATTTCTTTAGTAGTAATACGATCAACATATATTTGTTGATGTTTATTTAGATTAATATTTTTAACTATAGAGTACATGTTTACTGTAGCTTATCCATTACTCCTTTTCTGATAAGATCTTATATTTTCGCCCTTTATTGATGTATCTAATCTGCTGTATTTTTTAAAAGTACTGGAATGCTTTGCTCATAATACGAATGAAAAGAGGAATAATAAGATGAAAAAGAAAATACAAAGAGAGAGCATGGAACAAATGTGCAGAACATTGTTTGGGTGAATCACGTGTGGTGAAACAAATCATGACACTACTAGGAATTAGCATGAAGTAAGATGCATAAGGTCTTTGAAGTTTGTCTTGTAGAGTAGCTAGGAGATCATGATAATGTGATAATGGAGGAAAATGAATGATAAAAAAATGTGCAAGTGATGAATATTGGAGAATATTTTCCGTTCCCATAGTTGACACAACTATTTATTTGTGTATATGTTAACTCTTTACTAATAGTCTTTCTTCTGCAAGTAGTAATATGATCAACATACATTTATTGATATTTATTTAGATTAATATTATTAACTATTGACTACATACATTTTTACTGTAGCTTATCTATAACTCCTTTTCTGATAAGATCTTATCTTTTCTCCTTTTATTGATGTATCGAATCTGTTATATGTCTTAAAAGCACTGGCATACTTTGCTCATGATATGAATGAAAAGAGGAATAAGAAAGAGGAAGACAAAACAAGAGACAGCAAGGCAACATATGCACAAAACTTTGTTTGGGTGAGATCACATGCAATGAATGCATAAGGTCATTGAAGTTTGTCATGTGGAGTAGCTGGGGAGATCATGAAAATGTGGTAATGGAGGTTGATGTTGTGCAAGCTAGGATTCACATTCTCAGCCTCTGTTTGGGGGAGTCTAACTAAGTTGATCCAATTCTACACACTTATTTAATATGGGCATCCTGCATCCTTCTCCTAAGAAGTTGTGCAGTGTTTTTGGGGTTTTGATTTTTTCCCTGTTTATTTTCTCCAAGGGACCTTGATAATGGGCTTTCTTCCAGTAGTGGTTCTTAGATTCTCTGAATGCTCTCTTGGAACCCTTATTGAAATGAGGTGTTCGTTTTTGGTATATGGGGTCCTCACCGTGGTTGACATGTATTTTTGGTATATGGAGTCCTCACAGTGGTTGACATGTATCAACCTTGAATGTACTACGAACGATATTAGAGATAATGGGACCATTGTGCAGGGAAGCTTATTTTTTCTCATTGCAGTGAAGCATTGTGTTCTGCTAGGATTTTGTCCTAACATTGTTACCATTATTTTGCACACATGCATTATATTGGCAAAATCACATCATTTAACTTTCTCGTTTTATTTTCTGCATGAGGAAGTATCTGTTTTGTACAACTGACAGCAGACGCGTGCATTCATTGTCTCCTAATCTAGCTTTTATGTGATTATAGGCTATTCCTCCTATAACAAGAATTGCTCTGGGGCGGAGTACCTGGATTACAGTTTTATGCCGAAAGTTAAAGGACTGGTGGCATTGGGTATGCAAGTTCATAGTGGTTCAGTGTTATTTCTTGATTGCAGCAGAGGAAGCTGATTGTTTTGATTTGTGGATACTTGATAAAATGTTCATGAAATTGTTCTTTGTGTAATCAGGTTGCTGATGGAGAGGTTCCGATTATTGCCTCACATGGGTGAGTAGGATTTGTATTTTTTGTTCTTGTATTTTTTTTTCATTCTTGATAACATTGGTGAGTAGGCTTTCTGTTTTCATTCTTGAAAATTTGTACAAGTAAGATAAGTTTTTGTTCAATTTTCAAGGGAGGAAGTTGAGGCATATCAGGCACTCGAGCCCGGGACGCGTGTGTTGATCTTGAAAGCATTATGTGATATTCGCGTAGAGGTATTGCTGTTTTTCTGTTATTTTGTCATTGACATGGTTTTTCTTTCAGGATGTGCATTTTTTTTTTTTTGACTTTGTTTATGGGGATACACATGCTTTTATGTATTGTATTGCTTGCTAGGATGTGCTCATTGTTTCGCTTGTATATCAAAGTTAAGTTGTGAGATTGACATTGGTTATGTTATATTGTGATTTTCTAAATGCTTTTGTTTTTTTTTTCTTCTTTTGTGTTGATAGGTATCCATCCTTTGTATACACATACACATGCATGTATGCGAAATGCCAAGGTTTTTTATATAGTTCTTTTGATTCGAACACTCATACTCATTTGGTGGTTATGTCCTTTTTTTCATACTTGGAAAACAAATAATGTATATTCAACATGTTATCAAAAAACAAAAAAAATGTATATTCAACATGCATTTGTTTTGTGGATATAATGATTGACAACAACAGGTTTTATACTTTCACTTGCTAAATTTTGCTTGTGATCCTGTCTTGATCTTGTGAAATTTCTTATACCTTATTTGTGGTCATTCAAATTATGCACATTGCCTTCTTGGTATAAAAATGTGAGACTTTGTTTTGTTCTACTATCAAACAGCAAGAAGATATCAGGAATTATATTGATGACTCCATAAAGCATGGAATTCATCCATCAGCATTCCGCAGTGAGCGAATTGGGGGTGATTCACATGGAACTTCATACTGGTAATTGAATGCCTTGCATGAGATTTTTTAAATGTTTTTTGTCTCCGAAACGATTTTAACAGCATCTGTGATTGTGTGTCTGTATGTAACACACTGCATAAACTCCATCTTTGTTATTTTATGATGTTTGATCTTTCATAAGAATCTGCATCATTTTCCTTCTAGGTATGAAGATGATCCAATTATTGGCCATCGCTTATATCGTGAAGTGAGAAAAATTGAATACAAAAAGTTGAAGTCCAAGGGTATCCCATCCCAGCCCATTATTACTTGCCAGTGGGAGACAGTAGCAGCTAATTTTGATGAATTTCAGGAAGTTTCCGTAAGTACCTTACGCTCATTTAACTGAGTGATTGTTCAGAATAGTGATAATTTGATTCATGAACACTCCGCTTTGTATTGGTGAACGAATCTTGCTTTTTAAGCCATCGAAATGCTAATCTATGTTCTCATGGTAAAGTATTTGAAAGGTCAGAGCGTGTTAGGTGGGGCTGAGCAATTAAGTCCTCTTGTTTTGAACTGTATTCAGTAACTCTACCATCTTGCTTTGGTGGCAAGTGTCAATAGAAATGCAAATCTATGTTCTCATGGTAAAGTAATTGAAAGGTCAGAGCGTGTTAGGTGGGGCTGAGCAATCAAGTCCTCTTGTTTTGAACTGTATTCAGTAACTCTACCATCTTGCTTTGTTGCCAAGTGTCAATAGGTAGTATCTATCATTGTGGTATTTTAGTTACTTACTCATTGGTGCAAACATGTAAAAAGGTCATAAATCACACTACGTGTGTAGATATTGAACACCGTAGTTGTTGGGCCTATGTGTAGGAGCAGGGGATTATGGATGGCTAAAAGATTCCTAGGGTGGGAGTTTAGGCAGTGCGACAAATATAGGCAATTTGAAAATTGGAAGGACTGACCTTAATTCAAATTACTAAATTCTTTTGATTTAGAACTCATTCCTTTGGACTCCTGTTCCTGATACATCTGGAATGATGGCCTTGAGGACCTTGATTTTTCACCTGCAAAGCTCGGACTAGAAGATTTTTATATGTGATCCCAAAAGTAGAGATTGGGCCCTAAATTAAGAAGTTCTTATCCCTCTTTTGGAGTGCCGGACGATACCTTAGAGTGATTGTGATCTATGCTAGATGAACCTAGTGACTATGTTGAAAATACTGTGTTTCCTTTATGAGATTTTTGAACTGATGAATAAAATGACCATGGTGTTTTTTTCATGTGTAAGCCTTGTGGGCCCCCATCTGCAACAGTAATGAGGTTTGTCATTTGGATCACAAATGTAATCCAAGCTGGTGAAGTGAATATTTCTATTAATTGATAACTATCTTAGGGCACACCTCATTGAAAATTTGGTGTTTCTATGAAGAAGGATACAAGTAAGAGTCAATGCTGAGTATAATATTCTACTCTGCAGTGCTGCATATTAATTTTACATGGATAGCCAATTTACTTACTGATTATATGTGTCTAGTTCAAACTAAGTGGAGTTTCGGTCCACTAATGGGCTGCATGTGCTTGAAGTGGCTCACATTATGGCATCTGGGACTCGGATGAAAATTAAGCCTTGTATGCATAAGTTGCACAGCTAACTCTGCATGCTGTTGATGTGGCTTACGTTATGGCATGTGGGGCTTGGATGAAACCTCTGCATTATATGTCTAATTTGCACAACCAGTAAGCACCCCTATATGCCTAAATATTCATCATGTGTGTGATAACTTTCTCTGGTGGTAGCAAAATTAATTATGTTGGATCCTGAAGATAGATCTGTCGGATCAGGAGTTTACTGTTTGATTGGTAACTAATTTTATTCATTGTGTAAGTACAGAAACATGTATGAAATTGCTGCCAGTAAGGTTATACAGAAAACTTGCTATCATTCTAAAATAGATGGGCAAGTGTAAAAAATGGTAAGAGAAATTAATTCACATATCTATCCAACTCTTACAGCAAATTATTGTTTATGTGAAGCCTTATTTTGAATGGTCTAATTTTACTAAGCTGCTTTCCTAGACTAATAGGTATTGTTGTAATGTGCTAGGGATGAAGGTTACATACTGGATTCTGGTATTTGTCTGGCATTCTTGCTCCTAAGACCACTGTTCCCTTTGGCAGTCTACGTATTTCTCATTGGAAAATCTTCTTGTTCCAACTTCTTGTTCCAAGTTGGTTTTTCACTCCCTTAGATGTCTCCTTTTACTTGCCCTGTAGTACAAAGGGATGAATATGGAAGCTTATTATATACTTATTGGTTGATCAGCATTCTTAGCACATTGCCGTGAAAAAGTAGGCATGGAGAAGGCCGTTGCACCTCTGATTTTTGAACATCTATAGGTAGCAACGTGAAGATATCAGTATTGACATAAGATATTACAGTTGTAGAGTTTTCGCTGCATGTTAATGAAGATTACAAAAATGAATACTTCTGCAAATGGAGGTCTACAGATGTTCTTTTTTGTAGGGAGTTTGGTAATGGAGTTGTGTGGCTGTACGTGTACAGGGGATGGGGTTAGATGAGACGCATTTGGGGTCGAACTCTTTTGTTCAAACGCTTCTTTATTCCTCTCAGATTGTGTGAGCTTCTGGTTTAGATGGTTGAACAAACCGAGTTGGACCATTAATTTGAATGTATTCTTGTTTTTCTTTGAATATGTATGTAAGAAATGGAACTGAATTTTTTTGGCTGTTCTGACTGCGTCATTTTCTTGCCTAATTATAAAAGTGAAGCAGGAACACTGTAATGGTTAGGAGTAGGATTAGATGAGTTATGGCCTTGTTTTCTATGTCTCTTTGTATGACAAGTATTGTGAATGTCTTCATGGATAATTTTCTTTTGTATATACTATTTATTTATTTATTTTTGGGAGTGGTGTAATCTTTTCTATTTATTTATTTATTTTTGGGGATGGCATAATATTTTCTTTTCTAACTTATGAACTCAAATCCTGTATTTCATCCAAATGTTATTTCATCCAAATGTTAAAATAATGTCCTTCAATCCTCATTTTTATTCTGGGCATTAGTGGAAGTTCTCGTTATTCTTGATTTTGTGGTTTGCATTACGACAGACATTCTTGAGGAACTTGCAACAGCTGTAGATAGGAGGTTGGTGTTGCACCCCATGCCTGCTTCAATCAGCGAATATTTGAATGTTGTGCCAACTGGGCTATTGTCTTATCTAACTAGAGAAAAGTAGGATGTACACTGGTTTACTTTAACAAAAAAATGAATAAAAAAATAAAAATAATGTGCAAAAGCCTCTTAAGAGAACTTGAGATGTACGAAAGACTCGCAATTGTCATTTTAAGAAAGACAGTCGGTCTTGGCTTTTGATACTTCATGGTTTTTTGGATCTTCCAAAACTTAAATCAAGAATTGTGAGAAAGACCCATAATAGTCATGGGTTCGGTGGTGAGCCTTAATGGCTGGTGTCAAGTTTTTTGATCTGGTGGTGGGTTGGTTTGCTGTGGTTAATCGTCTATTGTTTTGTCTGCTCCCCCACAAGGACTGCTCTGCCTTGCAGTAGCATATTTGAATTTTAGTTTTAGAGCTAGGTTGAACATGGAGCTTGCTTTGAAGGCTGTTCACAAGTCATCATTGACAAGGGTGGTTCTCTTCAATGCTGGCCTTTCTTTGAATGGGGTAAACACAAGAAAGGTTTGTTTGAGCATCCTTCTTCTGTACCAGGTGTATATGTCTTAGGTATTGGCAGGAAACTGTTATGGGGACCATTTTGAAGAAATCGTACCATTCTCTCTGAAGAACAAGAGCACTCAGAATTTCTTATAAATGTGTCCTGACCTTGAAATGTGCTACAAATATATTAGAAGCTTTCGTTGGCCTATTAATTATAGTGAAATGTACAATGAATATAATGAAATGTACAATGAATAGTTGTTTTGGTAAATAAGGTCAGCTGAAATGTTCTATGCGATTTATAAAAATGTCCTTCCTGTCCAGAGCATTATATGGATATGCATGGGTTTTGTGGTCATGCTACAACTATTTTTAAAGATAACATTTTTTTTTAAGAAAAATCTTACAGTAAAAATATGGCTAATCCATCAGGAATTGCACATCTTTTAGGTACTATGCCATTAATGTTTTTTTTTTCCCCTTTTTTATCGTAGAACTTGCCCAAAACTCGTAGACCCTTGCTTGCTAGTACCATGTGCCACAGTGCCAGTATCGTCAAATTTGTTTTGCTTCAGCTGAAGGGGCTGAATTCAAGTCCTATTAAAATGAATGGTCTTTTTCTCAAAATTTTTAGTAATTTCTAGTTTTGGGTCTTACCTCATCTACTTTCGTATCTCCTTTCAAAGTGGAAATTGCGAGTGCAGCTATTGAGAAATTCTAGATTTGTTAGGGTATTGACTTTCCCATAAATTTGTGGCGTAAGTTAAAAGAAGCATCATAAGTGTCATAGGGTATATAGCTTCCCTTATTTTAGGGTTTAAGTTGCTGGAAGATTCTAACTATTGTTTTGTAGGTCTCATGGATCCTGGTTTAAATCCTTTTCTTACCATTTAAAAAGGGGCTTTTTCTGTAGTCAACAGAAAACCTAAATTTCATTTGGTAGATTCCATATTTGATTAACGAAACAGCCCATCACATCACAAAATTTTGGGTGGAAGCATGGTGGCTCTGTCTAAAATATTTCTATATTAATTATTCTAAAAGATTTCTGATTTTTTTGTTTTTAATTAGAAAGCAAACTCCATCTCCTTCCCTGGATTGGCTGAAGCTCCGAAGCACTCCTTGCCTGGCAAAACCAAAGCAGGCTCAGAAGTGAAGTGGAAACATTGATTCTACCTATAGTGTTCTAGTATTGGTACTTAGAAACTGTGAAGTAAGACTCTGGCAACGGTCGTCTTGTTGGTTTCGGGCCTGTCTTGTCAGTGCTTCTTGTCTTGTGTTGGATTGCGTTAGTATTATTTTGTGGTCCTGATCTGATTTTTCTTTCTTGGCACATAAAGAGTGCTCTTTAGTAAGGGGTGTCGCTAGGTACTTTTTTAGTTGCTTTTTTCACATGGCATTTGCAATTATGTTTTGCGTGTTGACAAGTGGAGACCGTCAGACACGTGTCTGCATATTCCAATATTGGCTAGACATACGGTCTCTATCTATCTCCCTTGTCAGGACATAAAAATAAAGTATGAGAGATTTATCGTAATGCACCTAGAGATGAATTATTTAACATATTGCTCATTCCTTTTGATTTTTCAAAAAGCCATCAAAGGACATTAATCGTGAGTTATACCAGTTTACATTTTGGGGTATTTTGATAAACGTGTAAAAGATATCAAGTAGTTGATACTTTAGATGTATTTCAATAAACTGCCCTTAAAAGTATTGAAACACGACATAAGAGTGTTGTCGCTTCTAGTGTCATGGATAGTGCATAGTCTCTCCTCCAGTATAGATTCAATAATTATCCTTAGGTATATAGATTACACTTAAGAGTAGTCTTTACGAGACTATGAGTGTTACGACCTTCCTTAAGGTAAGGTGCTTAGCATGTGCAACTGTGATTAGGTTTCTCTGGTGTCATGTGTTGACACTTAGTGACCCTTAGACAGATATGTAAACAACATGCAATGGCCATGTGATCTGTATATTTCTCCATTTTTTGGGCAAGTAAAGTATTGATGCAGAACATAATATTGTTGCCAACACAATAGACATAAAAGTACAGTGTTGATGTAGAACATAATATTGTTGCCACCTCTATTGTGTTGTTAGATGATGCGTTGTCTCTACTCAATTATAAATTCAATCATTTTCTTTGGGTATGTACTCGATGTTAACATTAAGTTAGCTACATATTAAAGAAAAAACATTAAATTAGCTAGAATATGAAATAAAGCAAGCATTAGTTTCTATTTAAAATAGCATTTTCTGGATAAAGGGCACAGAATGGATTTCTTGTTTTTTTTTTTTTTTTGAGAGGGGGGGGGGGGAGAGAGCGAGAGAGTCCGAGAGAAAGGAATCTGTATAAGAAGATAGACAGCAAATAATTAATAGATGAAGAGAGTGAAGATCAGAAATGGAAGCTTTTGGGAGGAGAGAGAGTAATGGATGAAGAAATTGAAGTCTCGAATTGTTTTTTTTTTTAAGTGGCTTCTGATGGTACCTTGGGCAATTTCAAGTCTTATATCTTTGCTTTGGTTCACCAGAAAGTCTTTCAAAATGTAGGTTTTTGGTGGAAACACACTGGAAGTTGATTTTTGGGGATGCCAAAGTAGAGGATCTAAGGTTTGCAAAAAGTTCTTGGAATGGATGAATGAGAGATAACGAATGATGTTTTTTTCTTTTTTTTTTGAAATTGGTGACAGTATATTATTAAGTATTGCTATGTACAGAAACTACTCTTGAGAAGTGAGTGTAAGGCAAAGACAAGCTGGGTGCTCTTAAATTTTTTTTTGTTATTAGATGATTTTAATTTTAATTTTCTATTTATTCTTCTTTCTTTAAAATTTTGATAATATTATAGGACTTTAATTATATGAAAGTCAGTATGTGTCTGATTTAATGGTTGGCATATTTGACCCCTCAGTTCCATGTTGGATTCTGACATTTGTATATCAGACTTTGTAACCCTGCCATTCTTCCACACTGTCCTTTGTTTTCATTGGCCCAGTTCGATTTGTTGGCCTTTGTTTCTGGTTTGTGTAGTTTTGAGGGTTTAGTCGTGAAGATTTGTTTTGAGGGTTTAATCATGAAGATTTATGTAGTCTTCCTTGGTTGCCATCTGTTATATTTCTTAAACCGTTATGAGGTTTTCAACTTTTGAAACAGATTCCTTGATTGCCAACTTTGTTTGGTAGTAACATATTGAAAAAATAAAGTGTTTTGTGCGAAGTGAGCTCCCACTAAGTGGACATCAATTTCCCTTTGTTTTTCTTGCAGTACACCTATAGTACTTCAGAATCTGGATAAGAACACTATGTATGAATAGTTTCTTCTATGTATCTTATGTTATATTGCACTTATATGCTTCCAGGAAAAGCTTGCTATGAGTAAAAATAGGACGGAAGCTGCCCTTGGAAAGAGGTTGAAGATTGACATTCTTCCAGAGATTGAGAAAATTTATAAGGTAGTGGTGCTCACTTTCAATCATGTTAGGTTACTGCCCACTGTATTTGTTTGAACTATTTTTCTTCTTTGGACCCTTAGTCATCCCTGTAAATTATCGTTAAGTGATTTAACATCTTTGATGGGCTAATTCAAATTGTGATGGATTTTGTGCAAAGAAAGTTATATTTTTTATGATTTAAATGTCACAGAGGAAAGAAAGGCAGCTGAAGAAACAACATAGGCAAGCTGTCCTCTTAGATAGCTTTATAAGTGCTGATGGACTTACCTCAGGACGATCTCTTCGTGATAGAAAGCCAGTTACATATACCTTTGGTAAGAGAACTTTTTTTTTTTTTAAAACATGTGAGAGCTTTTATTTAAAAAGTCTACATTCTTTTTTCGTAGCTATCATGCATTCTGGTCTATGAATATGAAATTAACACAGAACTCTAATAATTTATAAATTTTCATATGCTTTTATTGAAACCCAAATTGTTCTATTGCCTATGCTAGTAAATTGTTTGCAAATTCATAGATAAACATGATGCAGCGGGTGTTATATAGGTTTTTGCATTTGTGTGCGCATCTACAAAAGGTTGAAAACACCTAGAACAGCTTACAAGCTCATATATTACTTGGACACAGACGTGTATCTGAAGGAGCATGTACATTTGTACACCCAAGCCAGTGTGTGATCTGGTTCTGTCTTTGATAACTGTGCTGAATATCATTCATGTACAACAGGAGAATAAAAACTAGATTGTCTGCTTAGCTAATTTGATTGTACTAGGTAGGACTAAGGTTCATAAGACTTGATGTACCTTCGCGTGCTGCCTCTTTCTTTAAAAAAGAGGCATCTTGCAATGAAAAAATAGTATACAAATGATATTTCCCACTTACATAACATAAAGTTACTCTTCTCTAGAAAATTCAAAACATCTGATATTACTTTAGCGCACAACCACTTTGATCAACAGGTGTAACCAATCAAATTATTTATTTTTAAATATTGTATTTTAAATTAAAATAAATTGTATTTAACCTATGGACATTTATGACTAAAGATAAACAGATTAGAAACTCTGATATATTTTCTTTTCACTGGAAAATAAAAAAATTAAGGGAAAGTATTATCTAAGGGATAACAAAATCCTACAAAGACATCAAGGGGGTCAAAACATCCCAACTACCATGAGAGTGTTTACTTTTCATTTTTCACTTCATTTAGGTACCTCCATGAAATATATCCTCAAAAATACCCAAATTGGCCCTATTTAGGGTTGGGAACCCCAGAAAAGCATGGGTATTATAGTTATTTGACCCACTTAAGTGGCCCCAACCAAATGACAACAGTGCCGCCGCTTATTTATGGTGGGTTGAATTACTGAAATGGCCCTCGCTTTGTCAAGTTTCCCAAATCCTAAACAATGGCAATTTGGCCATTTATGAAGATATTTTTTGAGGAGGTATGTGGTGAAATGAAAATTAATAAGTAAACTCTCTAATGTTAATTGGGATCTTTTGACCCCCTGAATGATTTTGTTAGGTGTTCTTACTTCCAAAAAAAAGGAGTGTTTTTGTCTGGGGTATTGACCTTATAAATAAATTTTTCCCGACACTTGAAGGAATCTTTAGAATTAAAGCATACAAATTCATGAAATTTGGAGGTCAACTTATTAATACTCTATTTTATAAAGGTAACTTATTTTATATCCCTAAGTTGAAAATGGGAAAGAAGTGTTCAACAATAAAAAATTGTAACAAAAAATAACAAAACTGAGATACTTTTTTTGTTTTATTAAAATTAAAAAAAATTGAAGAAATCCAAAAAGTAAAAAATTATCTTAATCCAATACATGCAACAAAACCTTATTTTAAGGAGAGATTGCTTCTTTATGGGAGGAGAAAGATAGACAAGGAAACCTGATTTACTAGGACTTTAATGTGCAAGCTTTCTACTTTGTGAGGAGAGAGGAAAGATCTGAAGGCTATTTTTGTGTCAAACAAAATTGATGGCTTGATCGCATTATGATAACAAACACAGACATCCTAGAATATTTAGTACAGGTAGAATGGATATAAATTGATTAAAGAGATATAAATTTATTTAAATTGATAGTGATTATAGTGCTTGCAATAGTTCATATTTTAAAAACCAATTTTTTAAAAAAGTATGTCTTCTAATGTATAGGGTTATCAATTGATGTTATTTTAAGCAAGAATATATATGAATGGATTTATTTGTTATTTTGGTAGGATAGTTAGATACTTGGTCGATTGTTAGATAATTAGAAAGAGAATGGTGGGAGAGGGTTGATCACCAGTGGGGTAGAGAAATTTCCTAGAAAAGAGGATCTATGGGAAAAAATAGGAAAGTTTGGAAATGGGTTGATATGCTGGATATGGATGGGGAGTTAAAGATTTAAAAGAGAAATTTTTATGGGAGATTTTCATGGGAGTGAAGATTTAACGAAAGATTTTATGGGGGAGGGAGATTCACGTGAAAAAGGGGATGAGCTAGAGAGAGAAAATCGTGGGAGAGAGACGGAGAAAGAGATTAACATGAGCGAGAGGGGGATATGGATGGGGAGTTAAAGATTTAAAGGAGAGATTTTATGGGAGTGAAGATTTAACGAAAGATTTTATGAGGGAGGAAGATTCACGTGAAAAAGGGATGAGTTAGAGAGAGAGAATCGTGGGAGAGAGAGAGAGAGGGAGAAAGAGATTAATGTGTGAGAGAGAGAGATTGGCACGGGAGAGAGAGTCTATTCTTTTTTTTATTCATTTGTAATTGGCTTGTATTTAAGGTGATACTTTCCCTTAGAAAGGAGACTTGAATATTTTTGTAGAGAATTTGTTTATGAATGAAGAAAGATAACTTCTTCTTCTCCATGGCTTGATTTACAACCATATTTTCCCTTTCATTATTGTTGAATTTTTGCTTGTTTTAAGATCGAAAGAAGACCAAATTTAATTCCCTGGCCTCCTTTTGCATCAACATCCGAACAGTCCCTAAAATTACATTTTATGGTTTCTGTACATTTTTTTAAAGTTAGTCTATACTCGAAAGCCCCATTTTGAAGGCTCCAAAAATACCATTAAAGCACGGAGTTATTTGGGAACAAGCAAAAACAGTTTTATTCTTTTTCTCTTCTTCTTCTTCTTTTGTTTTTTTTTTCTTGCCAAAATGCGTCAGTGCATGAATTACTTGCATAGGACACTTAAGTGCCCAAAAGCCTCAAAGTCCTAACTAGTGCTTGGATAAGTCAAAGTATGCTGTTTATAACGATTTGACTTCTTGTAAGAGTACGAAATTGCATGGTTCAAACCGGCTTTGAGAAACAACATAAGGGCATTGAAGTTGGATTTAGTGTAACTTTGAGTCTTTTACATTTTATCATTTTGCCCTGTAATATTTAGTCTTTCAAAGAACAAATACAACATTTATTTACCATAAAGAGGAATATTCTTGTAAAATGTATGTTTGAACCTTTTGGTATTCTTCATTAGGATTTGTATGAGGGGCAAACCATCTATAGAGTACAATTGACTTCTCGGTGCTACCTGCTTGGACTAATGATCTTCTTAAATGCCTGTACATTTCCTATGGAAATATTCTAGGCACTGATGTGTCATTTTCCCTTTTCTTCTTTATGGTCTATGGGAGTTTTTGTGGTGTTTTCTTGATAATCAAGGGGATGGAAAGGCCTGTACCCTTAAAAGCTGATTGAACTGTTTCCTTTTAGGCTTCTAAGTCATAAATGGACGGTGGAGTAATCAGACTTAATTGTTAATAAATGGTCTGTCCAAATGGTGTAATTTCAATTGTTAAACAGTTACAGGTTTTAATAAATGGTGTGCCCGACAAATTGCCAACTTTTCAAAAACAAAAAATTAATGGTTTGCCCAAATGGGGCACTAATGTGTCATTTTTTATTTTCTTTTTTATAAGTTACGGGAATTTTTGTGGTACTTTCTTAGTAAGCAGGGGGATAGAAAGGCCCATACCCTTGAATGTAAACTGCGTTGAACAGTTTCCTTAAATATTACATATTCTTAACATGTGTGAAACATGACGTTCGAAAATCTGTGTTTGGGAAGGAAGTGTTTGCACACTTGTATGGCTAGGGATCCTTGTTTTCTTTACAAGTAGCTTGCTAATAGAGCAACAAATTAAAAAATATTATCGTTATTACTTGTCTAGAAAGTACATGGGATAAGTATGAAACACAACTATGACTTGCCTAAAACAGCCGACGTATCTGAATCATGAAGCTCATAAGTTTGTGCTAGAAATGGAACCTCCGTACATTTGTATAGTAGGATATCCTCATTTTCTTTAAATCTAGCTTGCTAATAAAGCAAAAGCTAAAAGAATATAAGAGTTATTACTTGTCCAGAAAGTATGCAGATTAAATATGAAACCCAATTATGACTTGCCAAAGACAGCTAAATCTGTAAAACACTGATTTCCTATGGTACCCTGATTGAAAGTTCAAACTTACATGGAAATTGTGGTCTCTTTAAGGTCCAAAATGCCACTAAAAGCAACTCCAGCATATTTCTCTAGAACATGATGTTTCAAACAAGAAACTGTTCACGTCACATTTTGGTCATGCCGTATGCGTTGTTGGTGTTTCTATATGCATGTCTGCATCTACATTGTGTCCATGTTGCCTAAAACCCCATAAATGCATTTCGAAACTGGAGCATTTCTGATTTGTTATAACCTTTCTGTATAGTTACTTATTTCATGAAATAATTTAGACTTGAAGTTTTCCTTCTGAGTAAAGTTGCAGAGACGTATAAAATGAGTGGTTAAAAATAAGTTAAAAAAAAATGAAAAATGATAGATATGGAAGTGAAAGCATGGTCAAACCTGGGTGTTAAATGCCAACAGTGTTGATACCAATCCTTGTGGTTCGAGTTAGCCTTCTGTTTAGCCTGCCAATCTGTTTCATTGTGGGGACCTCTGGAGTAAGAAGTGGAAAATCAGATGGACGGAGTTGAACTGCCTCCCTGAGGGTGGGTAATTGAGTGTAGAAAGGGGAGGCAGAAAGGCAAGCCTCCAAAATTTTGATCTCCTTTTTTTTATTCGTAGAGCCTTTCTGTTTTTGCTTTCCATATAAGTCAGGTCTTTTACAGTTTTATGTGCTCCTTGGAGAGTGAGAAGGGTGATGTGGCTTGCTATTTATTTCTTTAGATCAGGTTCCATGATTTGATTTGTGGCTCCATCTATAGAACCTCAAATATGAGGGATGCCTTTACACTTCGGGTTCTTCTCATCTCCATATCAAAAGAAATATCTTCTCTACCTTATGTCTATTTTTGCA